AGGTCATTGTCTCACCGTGAGGGTGGGCCCGGCAGTGACCAGTGCGTAGGTGAGAGCAGGAGGCACTCGGCTGGCAGCCTCAGGCCCTGGGTAGGGCTTGGTATAGGTACTGTCATAGCAGAAGAAGCCCTGGGTGTGCACGGGGAAGGTGTCCGTGAACTCCAGGCGGTAAGCAAGCAGGATCACAATGCCCAGCAGCACCGACTGCCACCGAGCCAGGGCAGGGAGAAGTGGCAGAGAGAGAAGAGAGAGGGTCAGGGTCCCAGCTGAGGCCACGGAGGCAGAGATACGAAGACGGAGAGACATGTGTTAGAGACAGAAAGTGGAAGACGGAGAGAGATGGAGACAAGGGGAAGAGAGACTGAAAGAGTTGGGGAAAGGAGGAGGAGGTCAGGGCTTAGGAGAAACAGAAAGAGGAGGAGGTAGAAACAGAAAGGCCATGTGCAGCGGCTGGTGCCTGTAATCCCAGTACTTTGGGAGGCTGAGGCGGGAGGATCGCTTTGTGCTCAGGAGTTTGAGATCAGCCTGGGCAACATAGTGTGACCTCATCTCTGCATATCTATAGTCCCAACTAGTTGAGAGGCAGAAGAAGGACTGCTTCAGCCCAGAAGATTAAGGCTACAGTTAGCCTTGATGTCACCACTGCACTCCAGCCTGGGTGACAGAGGGGACCTGTCTCCGAAAAAAGAAAGAAAGAAATAGGTGGCTCATGCCTATAATCCCAGGACTTTGGGAGGTCAAGGCAGGTGGATCACCTGAGGTCAGGAGTTTGAAATCAGCCTGGCCAATATGGCAAAACCCTGTTTCTACTAAAGATACAACAATTATCCAGGCGTGGTGGTAGATGCCTGTAATCCCAGCTACTCGGGAGGCTGAGGCAGGAGAATCACTTGAACCCAGGAGGCAGAGGTTGCAGTGAGATCATGCCACTGCACTCCAGCCTGGACGAAAGAGTGAGACTCTGTCTCAAAAGAAAGGAAGAAACAGAGAGAGAAAGGGAAGTGAGGGAAGGAGGGGAGAAGAGGAGAAAAAAAGCAAGAGAAGAGAGGAGGGAAAAGAGAAGGGAAGGGAAGAGATGGGCATGGGGAGAGAGAATAGGGTCAAGGCTCAGATGAGAGAGAGACAGACAGCAGGTGGTGGAGAGACTCTCCCACAAGGAAAGAAATCAGAGGTTAGGAGGAGTACTAGCAGCTACCAGGTCTAACCCTAACTGTGGGCAGGGGGGTCATACCAAGCCTTGTCCATGAATTAATACATTTTACCTTTACAATAGCCCTAGGAGGCCGGGTGCAGTGGCTCACACCTGTAATCCCAGACTTTGGGAGGCTGAGGTGGGAGGATCACTTGAGGCCAGGAGTTCTAGACCATCCTGGCCAACATGTTGAAATCCCATCTCTACCAAAAAATACAAAATTAGCCGGGCATGATGGTGCACACCTATAGTCTCAGCTACTCAGGAGGCTGAGGTGGGAGAATTGCTTGAACTTGGGAGGCAGAGGTTGCAGTGAGCCGAGATTATGCCAGTGTACCCCAGCCTGGGTGACAGAGTAAGAGCCTATCTCAGAAAAAAAAAAAGCCCTAGGAGATGGGACGTTAGTGGTGCCCATTTTATGCATGAGGAAACTGAGGCTCAGGAGGGTACCTGCGGGGTCCAGCACCCTGCAGTGTCGATAGGGCAGAGGGGGATTGGATCCTGGGGAGTGGCACTTTGGAATCCAGGCTCATAAACCACTTCTCAAGAGAAAGGAGATGGCAAGGGAGACCCCAGATATGGAAAGTGGGTACAGATAGGAAGACAGAGGTTGGACAGAGACAGAGATAGGCACGCCCTCTCTGGGAGAGGGATGGAGGCCCTCACCTCCACGAAGACAAAGCAGGGAATGATGGAGAAACTCCTCTTCAGATGCGGTCTCCCTCCCGCCATGGTGAAGGTCAGGCCTGCAGAGTGAGGAGGCAGTGGGAGTCCCAGGGCTGTGCTTAGGGGAAGGCTCAGGTCACTGGGACTCTGGCCCCATCCCTGAGTCCTTTGGCCACACCCCTGCCCCTGAAGATGGGTCCAGGGGAAGCCCTGACTCCACCCCTTGAACCTTCTGGCCATGCCTCTGCAATCCAGGTCCCACCCTGTTGGTCCCAACCCTATTGGGGACACCCACCTCCCCTGACACCACTCCCTGAGATTCTGGAGATTCTGTAAGGGTCCCCTTCCTCTACAGCTGACAAGGGAGACTCTGACCCAGTGCCTTTTAGGAGATGGTCCTTGAGAAGAGACTCTCCAGCCTCATGGGAACCCCTCCCACATGGCATTTAGAAGAGCCCCCAAGTCCAGGTACAATTGCTCACGCCTGTAATCCCAGCACTTTGGGAGGCCAAGACAGGTGGATTACCTGAGGTCAGGAGTTTAAGACCAGCCCGGCCAACATGGTGAAACCCCCTCTCTACTAAAAATACAAAATTAGCTAGGCTTGGTGGCAGACACCTGTAATTGAAGCTCCTTAGGAGGCTGAGGCAGGAGAATCACTTGAGCCCAGGAGGCAGAGGTTGCAGTAAGCCAAGATTGTGCCACTGGACTCCAGCCTGGGCAACAGAGCGAGACTCTGTGTCTCTTAAAAAAAAAAAAAAAGAGCCCCCACTAGTTTTTAGGGAACCCCATCCTCTTTCCCCAGGGGCCTCCATCCCTGCCAGGCCCTTCCCCTGAATCCTTTCCTCCATGGCTCCACAGGGGCTCCTCTCTCTGTCCCCATGGGCTGTGGTGTTGGTGTCTGATTGGGCTGATAGCCAAGCCCTCCTTCTCTGCCAACTGCTTCTCCCTCCTTCCCCCTCTTCCCAGCCGGTCTGCCTCCCAGTTCTCCTCTTCCCTCCCCCAAGGCTACCCCCAGTCCCCAGTGCTTCAGGGCTCAACACAGTCACACCTGCTTACACCCATTCTTCCAGCCCGATCTCACCTGTGAAAGTGCCCTATGGCTTCCCCCAGGCTGCATCCACACTCCCAGACTCACAGCTGCTCCTGGTGGCCAGCAGGGCAGGGATGGTCACCCCCATTGTGCAGATGTGGAAACTGAGGCCCAGGCAGGTGAGAGTAGGCACTCTGGGTCCAGCGCCCCAACCACGACGCTCATTCTGTAGTGTGATATGGGGTGATGGTCGCCAGAAGTCCTAGAAACCCAGAGTCACCCATGCTGGCACCCCTAGGAAGCACAACCCAGCCACAGCCTCCATCCTACCCCCCAACACACACACACACACACACACACACACACACACACGGCACAGCGTTCATCCATCCCACGGTAAAGACTGGGCACTAGCCGACTTCCAGGCACTGTGCTGGACGCCACTTTGCAGTGAACAAGACGGGGCCACTCGTTCAGACAGGTGTCCAACACACACAACAAACATCACTGCATACTTACACACAGTGGGCACACAGCCTGTCAGAGACACCCAAACAGATCAAACAAGTCCCCACCCCCCACCCTGGGCCAAACAGAGAGAAACACATCAGGAGACCCTATACACATCACAGTCCCACACAAGCCCTCACCCCACCACAGTCAGGGACACACAGGCCTGCAACACACTTAAGAGTCACAGCAAAGAAAGAGTCACTGCACACAATGGGGGTCACAGAACCCATCAAAGCATCACACCCCCAATTACAAGGCACTCCGTGACAGCCACACACACACTAACAGTCTCTTATTCACACTGACAGTCATAGGGGAGAGACACAGTGCCATCCACAACCACAGCCACATGGCCACGTCCACAGACCATGGCACAGACTCACAACGCCACACAAGAAAGGTGCACGGTGCACAACCACAGCCACACACACACACACAGACACACACACCATCAGAATAAGCACAGCAGTAGCCACATAATGACAGTCATTACTGTCATTGCACACAACCACACAGATGCCAAGACAGTCACACACAGAGACAGCAGCCACACGGGGGGCCAATGGCAGCCACAGCACAGCCACACACACACCATCCGAGTGACACCCACAACGACAGCAGCACAATGACAGTGACACACATCCGCGGACCTCCCGAAGCCGCACAATCCCAGTCGTGCAGCCACACGATGTCAGTTACACAACCACACAGACACACAATGACAACCACACAATCACAGTTACCCACGGCCACCCTCACCATGGGCGCTGGGCTCCTCCGCCCGGGGTCTCCTCCCCCAGCTTCGTCCCCTCCCCCACCTTCGCCGCCTCCCCTCCCTCGCCCCTCCCCGCGCTGGACCCTAAGGCGCCCGACCCTCAGGAACCGGGGAACGACGCTGGGGGTGGGAAGCCCACCGGAGGGGATGAGGGGCGCCCCAGCCCCTCTCCTCACCGCGTCGAGGCCGCAGTCGCCTGAGACCCCGCTCCGTCTAGATGGCCCTGGCGCGGCGAGATGGACAGACGGCCGGCCCGGCTGGCAGGCGCCGAGACCGAGATGCGGTCGGCCGGGCCGGGCAGCGCCGCGCAGACTCCGAGGCGGAGGGAGGGGCGGGGCCTCCGGGCGCCTCCTTTGCATAGCCCCCCGTAGGGCGGGGCCTCATTAGCGGGGTGGGGCGGGGCCTCCGTGCTCTTGGGGGCGGGGCGTGTTAGCATCAGTTGTGGGAAGGAACCAAGAATGGATGTAAAGAGGGAAGACCCTGGGGTTGGGAAGAGCTCCAAGGGTAATAGGAGGGAGGGGCTTCAGAGCATGTCCGTGCCCCTTGCTCTCTGGGCCTCAGTTTCCCCATTCACCAGGGCCCCCCAGAAAGGAAGGCTCTATGGCCAGCGTGGAAGTCTGTCTGGCCACTCGTATCTGGACAGAATGATTCCTTGCCTTGTCATATATTAAATCTGGCTTCACCATGTCCCCTGATTCCAAGCCCACACATCCCAAAAGACCTCTGGGGTCTCTACATGCCTCCCCCGCAACACTGAAAAGTAAATTGTGAGGGCAGGGGGATTCCTAGCACAGGAAGCAGCAGGACTAACAGTCCAGGGCAAGAAGAGGGTCTGGGCTAGTTTATTTTCTTTCTGGAGGGGTCTTCAGGGAGAGCAGTCCCGGCTGCTCAAGCTGTGGAGAGAGAGAGTGGGTCAGGGCCTGACCAGGTCCAGGGGACTCTGGGGCTGCAGGGCAGGGACCGAATGTCCAGATTGGGATCTGGGCCTGTCCCAAGGGTCTAGACTGGGAGTTCAAGGCCGGTCAGGAGGGGAATGGGTGGGTGGGGGGGAGTGGGAAGAATCTGCACCGTGTGGGAAGGAACGACGGCTCTTGCTGAAAGGTGGCTGAGAGAGGTGCTGGTCAGAGTCAGAGTCAGAGTCCCAGGAGGGGAGTGGATGGCTCAGGTGCCTGTGCCCCTTGTGGCCTGCAGGAGGGACAGGTACCCTGAATAGGACCCTCAAGTAACCTCCAAATATATGCCCTGTGTCCCTTCATAGTATACCTCACTGATACTTAAACCATGACCCCCAAGTCCCTTGAATGTGATTCAATGTGACACCAAATTATGACTTCAATGACCCTTGAATTTTACCCAACTGACACCTTTTTTTTGTGAGATGAGGTCTTGCTCTGTTGCCCAGGCTGGAGTGCAGTGGAACGATCATGGCTCACTGCAGCCTCAACCTCCCAGGCTCAAGAGATCCTCCTGCCTCAGCCTCCTGAGTAGCTAAGACTGCAGGTGTGCACCATCACCCAGTTAATTTTTAAATTTTTTGTAGAGATGGGGTCTCACTGTGTTTCTCAGGCTGGTCTCAAACTCCTGCACTCAAGCAGTCCTCCCACCTTGGCCTCCCAGAATATTAGAATTATAGGCATGAGCCACTGCATGGGGTTCCCATGGACTCATATAAGATCCAAGTGACAGGGCCAGGCACGGTGGCTCACATCTGTAATCCCAGCACTTTGGGAGGCCTAGGTGGGCAGATCACGAGGTCAGGAGATCGACATTATCCTGGCTAACACGGTGAAACCCCATCTCTACTAGAAATACAAAAAAAAATTAGCTGGGTGTGCTGGTACATGTCTGTAGTCCCAGCTACTCGGGAGGCTGAGGCAGGAGAATCATTTGAATGTGGGAGACAGAGGTTGCAGCGATCCAAGATTGTGCCACTGCACTCCAGCCTGGGTGACAGAGTGTGACTCTGTCTCAAAAAAAAAAAAAATCCAAGTGACACTGAATGTGACCATGAATGACTCCTGGATGAAAACTCCAGTGACTCCTTAATGTGACCCCAGAATATTACTTAATGTGACAACAGAATAACACTCAACAGATGGATGTCACTCCCAAGTAGGCTCTCTGAACATAGCCCCCCCACCCTGCCCCGAGTGAGGCTAGACAATGACCTCCCACCCCTGGACAATTCTCAGCCTCCCTCACCCCTGGGGCTTGACGCCTTGGGACGAGCCCCCAAAGACATGGTGAGGCCATTGATGGAGTTCTGCAGCACGTGCACAGCAGACCTGCAGGAAGATGGGGAGCTAGGGGTCCTGGGAGACTCCAGGCTGCTCAGGGAGTGGACAGCAGTAGGCCTAAGGTTGGGGGTCATGGTGGGGGTGAGTCCTAGGGAGTGAGGGAGCTCTGGACTCAGGTGGGCTCCAGGTTCTGGAAGTCACTGCCAGATCCCGTTTGGGAAGGAGGTTCACATGAGGGTCAGGGGTCAGACTGAGGGCTGGGCATCACCATATGTCACTCAGTTCCTTCCAGCAGCCATCAGCTCCCTGAGGTATCTCCTCAGTCTCCGGCCAGGCAGATGTCTCATAACCCTGCTGCTTCATCTTGGTCAGGATCTGAGGTGGGGAGGGATGAGAGAACAGCAATCATAATAATAGTGACAGTAGTAAAAGGTGACTGTTTCACAGCACTTAGTATACGCCAGGCTGCATTCAAATGCTTAATACTCAGCTAACACAGACACCTGATCAGGTAGGGATGAGTGTTTGTTGTTGTTATTGTTTGTTTTTTGAGACAGGGTCTCACTCTGTCACCCTGTGAGTGCCGTGGTGCCGCCAGGGCTCACTGCAGCCTCAACCTCCCAGGTTCAAGTGATCCCCCCATCTCAGCCTTCTGAGTAGCTGGGCCTGCAGGCACATGTTAACACACCCAGCTAGCTTTTTTTTGTTTTTTTGTTTTTTGTAGAGACAGGGTTTCACCATGTTGCCCAGTCTGGTCTTGAACTCCTTGACTCAAGTCATCCCCCCACTTCAGCCTTCCAAAGTGCTGAAATAACAGGCATGAGCCTCCGTGCTCAACAGGATGAGGGTTTTTTTTTGATATGGAGTTTCGCTCTTGTCACCCAGGCTGGAGTGCAATGGGGCAATCTCGGCTCACCACAACCTCCGCCTCCCGGGTTCAAACAATTCTCCAGCCTCAGGTTCCTGAATAGCTGGGATTACATGTGCCCGCCACCACACCAGGCTAATTTTTGTATTTTTAGTAGAGACGGGGTTTCACCATGTTGGCCAGGCTGGTCTCGAACTCCTGATCTCAGGTGATCTGCCCACCTTGGCCTCCCAAAGTCCTGAGATTACAGGCATTGGCCAGGATGAGTTATTATTACACCCATTATACAGATGAGGAAACTGAGGCTCAGAGAGGTTGAGTGACTTGCCCACAGTAACACAGCAGTGAGAGGCAGAGCTCGGATTTGAACTCACTCTTCAATCTGATGGCGGAGGCTGACCAAAATCCCCATCCCTCCCTCTCCCATTCCTCCCCAGGGTCCCCATCTCCTCCACTCACTTTGCGGCATTTCACCTGCGTTTTCTGCATTTTCTGAATGTTCATCAGGTTCTCTGAAATCTCATCCTCCTGGGCCTCTGTGGAGGGAGGGGGCTCAAGGGGACAGGGGCTAAAGAAGGATCCCCCTCTCCCGCCCCTGGCTGTGGCTCCAGGCACTCACGGAGCTTCTGATAGATGCAGGTCACCTCTTTCCGAACCAGTTCCAGCTCCTCCCACAGGAACTTCTTGCTGAGGGGACAGTGCAGCCTGGACCTACACTCGCTGCCTGGCCCCTGACCACCCATCCGCCCAAGTCTGTCCCCTCCCCACACCTCCCTGTCCATTTCCCCTCCTTTCTACAACCCCCTACCCTCATCCCCATCCTTTCCTTCCAATCCCCAGCCTCCCATTCTTTCAGCCTCTCCCAACCCACTCAGCCTCCTATCACCTGGCCTCCACCTCCCCACCTCCTGTCCCCGATTTTCTACACCCCCAGCCTCCTGTCCTCTCAGCCTTCCCTGCCACCCCCCTCTGACCCCCTGGCCTCCTTTTCCATCCCACCTCCAGCTTTCTGTCTTCCCTGCCTTCTGGCCTCTCAGTCTCCCATTCCCCAACCCCCACCAGCCACCTGTCTCCCCTGAGCCTCTCATCCTCTCCTCTTTTATTTATTTATTTATTTTTGAGGCATAGTCTCACTCTGCCAACCAGGATGGAGTGCAGTGGCACGATCTTGGCTCACTACAACCTCTGCCTCCCGTGTTCCAGTGGTTCTCCTGCCTCAGCTTCCCCAGTAGCTGGGATTACAGGCACCGGCCATCATACCCGACTAATTTTTGTATTTTTAGTAGAGATGGGCTTTCACCCTGTTGGCCAGGCTGGTCTCAGGTGACCCGCCCATCTTGGCCTTCCCAAGTGCTGGGATTACAGCCATGAGTCACCGCACCAGGCCTCATTCCCTCTTGTCCCTCAGGCTTTCCATCATCCCCCAGTCTTCCTCACCCAGGCCTCTGCCATTTCCCTGATCCTGCCTCGGTTCCCCAGTTCCTGACCTCCCTTCCCTCCTGTGGACTCCCGCCTGCCCTTCCACCATCACCCACCTGTTGTGGATCTCCTGGGCCAGCAGCTGCAGGCAGCGAGTGGTGTGGATGCGCTGCACCTCCTCACTGTCATGCAGGGTCTTCTCCAGCCCCTGCAGGCCTTGGTCCAGGGCCCCATAAAGCTCCTGCTGGCCCTGCTCCAAAGAGGGGCCCGACTTGTGCCCCTCCTTCTCTCCCTGGTGGCCTGTGGGGCTCAGCACCTCTGCAGAGAGTGTGGGACCTTGACTGAGCCCTGATCCCACCCTTAACCCAGCTTGTCCTAATCTTGATCCAGAACCCACACTCTCCCAAGACTCTCCCAGTTTCTCTCACCCTGGCCTGGCCCAGCTAATCCCAACAGGACCAGCTTCCAGCCTGATTTTTTTTTTTTTTTTCTGAGACAGAGTCTCACTTTGTTATCCAGGCTGGAGTGCAGTAGTGTGATCTCGGCTCACTGCAACTTCTGCCTCCTGGGTTCAAGCAATTCTCCTTTTTCAGCCTCCTGAGTAGCTGGGACTACATGCGCACACCACCATGCCCCAGCTAATATTTGTATTTTTAGTAGAGATGGGGTTTCACCATATTCGTCAGGCTGGTCTTAATCTCCTGCCTCAGGTGATCCACCTGCCTTGGCCTCTCAATGTGCTGAGATTACAGGCATGAGCCTCCAGGCCCGGCCTTTTTTATTTTTATTTTTTAGTAGAGATGGGGTTTCACCATGTTGTGCCCAGGTTGGTCTCGAACTCCTGACCTCAAGTGATCCACCCTTTTCGGCCTCCCAAAATGCTGGCTTTTTTTTTTTCCTTTGGAGACAGAGTTTGATAACCCAGGCTGGAGTGCAGTGGCACAATCTCAGTTCACTGCAACCTCCACCTCCCAGGTCCTGCTTCAAGCAATTCTCCTGCCTCGGCCTCCTGAGTAGATGGGACTACAGGAGCACACCACCATGCCCAGCTAATTTTGGTATTTTTAGTACAGATGGGGCTTCACCATATTAGCCAGGCTGGTCTTGAACTCCTGACCTCGTGATCCACCCACCTCAGCCTCCTAAAGTGCTGGGATTACAGGTGTGAGCCACCACGCCTGGACAGATGCTGGGATTACAGGCATGAGCCACCATGCGTGGCCTTGCCTGACCTTGATCTCTGGCCAGTCCTAACCTTCAAGCTGCTGAATCTTGATTTGCTGCAAGCAGCTCTCCTTCTCCAACATGGTCACTGAGTGGTTCAGGAACTCGAAAGCCTGGGGGAAAGAGGTCAACCTTGGGGTGACAGGAAGGAGGGGAGGGCAAGGAGAAACAGAAATTGCTGGCAACAGGGCCATGGCGGTTCACCTTGGTCTGGGCCTGTAGCTGGCTCTTGAGTGACTCAAGTTCACATCGCAGGAGCTTCTGGGAGTCAGGAATCATCACAATGGTTTTGGCTGTGAGCAGAGGAGAGGGTGGTGAGCCAGCACTGGGAGGGGTGGGGCCTGGAGCAAGGGCAGGGCAGAGGTCAGCAGAGGCTCAGAGTAGCAGTAGGGACAGGGGGTAAGATTTAGAACAGGGGCCCAGTGAGCCTTGGGCAGGAGTGAATGGGTGACCTTGGCAGAGGGTCAGCTGTTGCTGGGGCAGACGGTAGAGGTAAGAACCAGCAGGTCTTCCCCCACAGTCTCATCGGGAAGGAGCTTTCTCACCTTTGACTTTGGAAGAGCTGGTCTCCAAGGGCTTCTAAGGAAGAGAAACAAGAGGGGAGTAGAAATTTACCCCTGAGCTGCCTCCTTGTTCACCCCAAGCAAGTTTGGAGGGCTGGACAAGAGTTGGATCTCTTCAGTTCTGGGTGTCCCAAACCGCAAGTGCAGGCAAAGCTGCACTCCAGGCATATTCATGCACCTCCCCCTTGGGCTGGCTACACATGTTCAGAAATGCACTTCTGTGGCTGAGAGACGCTCACAGACAAATCCCCATGGAAGACACACAACCACACTCTTTGCTTCCATTCATTCCGTCATCCCTTCATTTAAGACTTGTTTAGTGAGGGCCTGCTGAATGCTAGGCGCTGTTCTAGGTGCTGAAGACACACACAGTGGGCGTGTTCATGGGAGTCCCTCTGCCTTACAGCCCCTTCCCTAAGCCCCACAGCGATAGATGCAGTGCTTTTCTGCATTGAAGGGGTTTCTTGGGTGGGGGTGACCTTAGCTACGTTGTAATGCCTCTTCAAAACGTCCTGGTCATTACGGCACTCCTTCTTCAGGTCTGGGTTGGGGAAGCGGGGAGCCCCATGTGGTGGAGTCCCCGAGCCCACCACTGGCATCCAGTCTACACTCCTCACTATGTTCCCAGAAGCAGGGCGTCCCAAGGTCTCCTGCTGTGGGGTCCTGGGCCAGGAAGCTGTACACTCCAGAGCCTTGTCCAAGGAAGAGCCTGGGAGTGAGGGCTTTCTTGAGGGACAGTGCAGAGTACTCCTCACATTCCCAGCCCCTCCCAGCATCCCCAGACCTACAGCAGCCCCCCTCCCATGAACCCCAGTACTTCTCACACTTCGTGTTAGCAGGCAAACACACGCTGGAGGGTGAGGGAGGTTAATAGAGGCAGGACACAGGGTAGACTGGCCAAAATAGGGTCGCTGTGAGTAGGGAAGCAGTGGCTGCTTTGAGATAAGTCTCCATGTCTCCACTGCCCCAGACCCTCCCTGACATTCCAGAGATGTCTCAGCCCTAAACTCAAAGCTTCTCTGTTATGGCAGAAGCCAAAGATGGATGAAATGGTCCCAAAGTCAGCTATGGCCAGGCACGATGGCTCACACCTGTAATCCCAGCACTTTATGAGGCTAAGGTGGGAGGATCATTTGAGGTCAGGAGTTCGAGACCAGCCTGGCCAACATGATGAAACCCTGTTTCTACTAAAAATACAAAAATTAGCCAGGCTTGCTGGAGGGTGTCTGTAATCCAAGCTACTTGGGCGGCTCAGGCAAGAAAATTGCTTGAACCTAGGAGGCAGAGGTTGCAGTGAGCCAAGATTACACCACTATACTTCCGCCTGGGCAACAGAGTGCGAGACTTGGTCTCCAAAAAAAAAAAAAAAAAAAAAAAGATGATCCCAGCCCCAAGGTTTGGGTGGGGCAGTGAGAAGGACCCAGAAGACCCCAAAGTAAAATATCAGACCTCAGAAGAGCCCAAAGAAAACAGTGACATTGACACTGGCTTAAAGGAAGGGCTTCCCTGGCAGGGAACAGCATGTGCAAAAACTTGGAGGTGTGGAATCACATGCTCTATGCTGCTACATTCTTGATGGCTGAATCAAGGTCCAAGAGGAAGCAGCAGGAGGTTAGTGGAGCAGCTCAAGGAAAGCATTGACGGCGAAGCCAGGAGCTTGGACCTGGCCCCAGAGGTAAATAACAGCCATAGAGTGTGAGCAAGAGAGGCCGGGCATATCTATTCAATAAATGTTAGCTGAATTGCGGTCCAGGCCTGTGCTAGAAAAGACTGGGAACAGAAAAGAGCCGAGCTCTGGGTCTCATATCCAGCTCCCCTCCCCCTCCAGTATAATCAGGGATGGCACAGATGGAGATAACTGGGGCAGGTCTGCCTGGAGAAACTTCTAGGTGAAAGGCACCTTGCCCTGAGTCACACTCAGCCTGTTCCACCAAATCCTCTAGAACTTCTCTTTTGTCTCCCATGCCAGACCTTCTGCCTGGTGTCCTTTCCCTGATTCAGTCTGCCTGGAAGACTCCTATACGTCCTTCAAAACCCTACTCAGGCTGGGTGTGGTGGCTCACGCCTGTAATCTCAGCACTTTGGGAGGTCAGGGTGGGCGGATCACCTGAGGTCAGGAGTTTGAGATCAGCCTGACCAACATGGTGAAACCCCATCTCTACTAAAAATACAAAATTAGCCAGGTGTGATGGCACATGCCGGTAATCCCAGCTACTTAGGAGGCTGAGGCAGGAGAATCGCTTGAACCCGGGAGGAGGAGGTTGCAGTGAACCGAGATCACGCCATTGCCTCCAGCCTGGGCAACAAGAGCGAAACTCTGTCTCAAACAAACAAAAACTACTCAGCATATTTTCAGTAAAATCTTCCTTAATCCTTTTTTAGGCTCCTGTTTTCTGAACACCTAACTGAGTGCTGGGCATCCTAAGCACTCACTGGATCTTCACACCCACCCTGTGATGTACACATTTTTCTTCTGCCTGAAATGTCCTAAGCTGCCCCTCCAAGAGTCACTGCCTCAGGGAGGTCCTCACTTCCAGGGGCAGCAGAACATAATGGTTAAGCAGGGAAACTCTTCGGCTAGATGGCCTGGGTTCATATCCTAGCTCTGTCCCTGCCACCTGTGTAATACTGGTGGCGTTCCTGAACCTCTCCATGCCTCAGTGTCCCCAGCTATAAAAACGGGATGTTGGGGCCCGGCACAGTGGCTCACGCCTGTAATCCCAGCTTTGGGAGGCTGAGGCAGGCAGATCACGAGGTCAACAGATCAAGACCATCCTGGCCAACATGGTGAAACCCCGTCTCTACTAAAAATACAAAAATTATCTGGGCGTGTTGGCGGACGCCTGTAGTCCCAGCTATTCGGGAGGCTGAGGCAGAAAAATCGCTTGAATCCGGGAGGCGGAGGTTGCAGTGAGCCGAGATCGTGCCACTGCACTCCAGCCTGGCGACAGAGCGAGACTCCGTCTCAAAAAAAAAAAAAAAAAAAAGGGATGTCATAATATCCACCTTATTGGACTGTTGTGATGAAATGTATTAATCCATGCCAGTGCGTGGTATACAGTAATGGGAATCTGTGTTTGCTATGAAATGTCACGCTGACAACCTGGGACTTAGGGACCGTAGGAAGCCTGGGAGGCTTGGAGGCGAAAAGGAGAGGCATTTGAGAAGCAGCTCAGGTCCCCAATCGTGTCTCCTCTCTCCCCGCCCACCCCGGTTTTGCTTCCGCGTCCCTCTAGGGAAAATTATTTAGGGAAGGGGCGGGGTCATCAACCTGGCCCCGCCCCCTGGCTTGTGAATTCTGCACCCTCCGGGCTATAGACGCCCATCTACCACATACCACCTGTTCATGATCTCCCATCAGGGACCGCGAAGCCAGGCCTCAGCTGTGACGCTGAAATTTGATCCCGCGGGGACACCATCGCATTAAAAAGCTCAAAGACTGAAGGAGTCACAGAGAGGGGTGTGGCCGGCATTTTAGTTCCGCCCCTGCTGGAGTAGCCAAAGGCCTCATTGGCGCCTTCACGCTTAGTAGCCGCGGTGTAATTGGATAAAAGCCCCTGGAGGGGGCGGATCCCAGTGAGTTTCTACCAATCGATTAGTCAGTCCCCAAGAGGGCGGGACAGAAAGCTGCAGATTTACGATCCGATTGGTTTCGGGCCCAGCTGGGAGGCGGGACGAATTCTTGGTTGGGGGAATCCCACCAGGGGACACGGTGGAGGAGGGGGTCACTGTCCACTCGGGGGCGCTGGAGTGAGGTACCGAATTCAGCCCGTTGGCCCCGACGCCTCTGTTCTCGGAATCCGGGCGCTGTGGGTTGAGGTCCCGGTTCCTAACGGTGGGATCGGCGTCCTCGGGATGAGATTTGGGGTTTCCTCGGGGGCTTTGGGGAGCTTGACCTTACATCTGGGATTCTCTTGTGAGAGGGATGGTCTTGGCTGTCGGACCTGGATCCCTGCGGTGATATTTGGGAGTTAGTGGGGTGGTCCCTGAAAACCTAGGGCTATGAGCTGGAGCTGCTGGGGCTGAAATTTGGGGGACTCTGAAGTGGCATGGAGATTGAGGTCCAGGCAGCCTGAAATCTTGAGCGCTGACATTTGGAGAGATGGGGTCGAGGGTTGTCTTTGGGCCCTGACTGCTTTGGGCCTTTCTCACTCTCATTCCTGGGCTGCTTTGCCAGAATCTCTGATGGATTGGCCCTTACCCTGTCCCCGAGCGGGCTCACAGGGTCTGAAGGCCACGCACGAGGCAAAGGTAAAGTTCTGAGCCACCCGGTGCCTCCTTCCCAGGGCTGCAAGATGGAGGAAGGCGTGAACCTGGAAGGCCTGATTAAGATGGTCCATCTACTGGTCTTGTCAGGTGCCTGGGGCATGCAAATGTGGGTGACCTTCGTCTCAGGTATGGACCCTCAGCTTGGACGTCATGGGTACCTGGAGTGGGTATGGAAATAAGAGGGGAACCTGAAAGTGCCCTAACATCCCTATGGCCCCCATTTCCTGCAGGCTTCCTGCTTTTCCGAGGCCTTCCCCGACATACCTTCGGCCTAGTGCAGAGCAAACTCTTCCCTTTCTACTTCCACATCTCCATGGGCTGTGCCTTCATCAACCTCTGCATCTTGGCTCTACAGCACACCTGGGCTCAGCTCACATTCTGGGAGGCCAGTCAGGTACGTGGGTTTGAGCACCACTACCCTCTGGAGACTTGTTCTCAAGACCCCAGTGAGCCCCTATGGCTACACCTTTTCCAGAAAAAAAAAAGTGCCCCTTCTTCCTGATGGATACAAAGCTGGGCTCTTGATACCTTTGAGCAGTGCACAGCCTGTACAACAGTCCCCATTAGCCCTGTCTGTCCCCCCCAGCGTCTCTCTACTAGCTGCTGTTCCCTCTCTTCCTGCTGGCTGGGCCTGCTGCCAATCTGTGGTGACTCAGCTGAGCTGGAATAGTGACCCCGGCTTATTGTTTAAAAACCAGCCCGACTGGGAATTTATGGTTTCCTACCCCCTTCCACACATTTTTTTGGCCACAAGGCAAGAAACCATCTCTGCATCTCAGATTTCTCGACTCTAGCCTTCCCCTGCCTGCATTATGTTCCACAGATGTGGGCAAGTGAGACCTGATAGGTTTTTCAAGAATAATCTCATAGCGACAGGAGGGGATTATAGGTAACTAGAACTTCACAGACTGTTTTTTTTTTCTTTTAGTTATTTTAATGAAACAGACTCAGAAGGTATTCAAAGATTTACAAAAAATAGAGATGGGTTTATGGCAACATGAGAACGACAAAAACATTTTTCTTAATTATGAAAATAGAGATGAGAGTCTTGCTGTGTTGTTCAGGTTGGTCTTGAACTCCTGGCCTCAAGTTTTGCTTCCACCTTTATCTCTGAAAGCACCAGGATTACAGATTATGGGCATGAGCCACCATGCCTGCCTTCAAATACTTTTTGGGTTTTTTTGGTTTGTTTGTTTGTTTGTTTGTTTGAGACAGGGTCTTGCTCTGTCTCCCAAGCTGGAGTGCAGTGGTGTGATCTTGGCTCACTGCAACCTCCGCCTCCTGGGTTCAAGCAATTCTCATACCTCAGCCTCCCAAGTAGCTGGGATTAGAGGCAGGCGCCACCATGCCCGGCTAATTTTTGTATTTTTAGTAGAGACAGGGTTTTGCCATGTTGGCCAGGCTGGTCTCAAACTCCTGACCTCAAGTGATCCACCCACCTCCTCCCAAAGTGCTGGGACTATAGGCCTTGAGTCACCATGCCCAGCCACTCAAAGACTTTTTATTCACTCTCTGTGGGTCCAGTGTCAGCTTCTGGGGTCTGGGCTGTGGCCACTGAGGCAAGAGATCTTACCTTGGGGACTTCCAGTCTCAGTATCAGAGGAGAGGAGGCTCGGGAGGTTTTAGTGGGGATGGAGGAGGTGGGGATGGAGCCTTTCCTTCAGAGCTGCCAGTTTCAGAGTAGGAGAGCTGGAGCTCTGCTTTGGGGCCCTCAGTCTGGGTTCAAGGAAAGACAGGGAGGCAGGCTTTTGATCCAGTGCTGTCCCCACCCCCACCCCTGTGCTGTTGAGAAGGGCCCTCCTTAGGGCCCCTCTGGCCTCCCAGGCATGGCTTACCTTCTCCTTGGCTGTCCCTGCCAGCTTTACCTGCTGTTCCTGAGCCTTATGCTGGCCACTGTCAACGCCCGCTGGTTGGAGCCCCGCACCACAGCTGCCATGTGGGCCCTGCAAATGGTGGAGAAGGAGCGGGGCCTGGGCGGGGAGGTACCAGGCAGCCACCAGGGCCCCGATCCGTACCGCCAGCTGCGAGAGAAGGACCCCAAGTACAGTGCTCTCCGCCAGAATTTCTTCCGCTACCATGGCCTGTCCTCTCTTTGCAATCTGGGCTGCGTCCTGAGCAATGGGTTCTGTCTCGCCGGCCTGGCCCTGGAAATAAGGAGCCTCTAGCATGGACCCTGCATGCCAATAAATGCTTCTTTGGAAATGGCTGCTGTCTTTTTTTTCACCCCCCATGAGAAGCAGGGCGAGAGGCAGGCAAGGGTAGAGCTGAGGGCTTCAGTTTCCCCATTCATGAAGCATGATGATTTGGAGTATCAGGCGTTGTAGCCTGTAAGCCTCTCCTATAATGATGCCCATGTATTGAGCACCTGCTGTATACCAGACATGTTGTTAACCACTGGTATATCATGTATTATTTGTTTTGTCTTTTTTTTTTTTTTTTGAGATGGAGTTTTGCTCGTGTTGCCCAGGCTGGAGTGCAATGATGCCGTCTTGGTTTGCCACAACCTCCGCCTCCTGAGTTCAAGTGATTTTTCTGCCTCAGCCTCCCAAGTAGCTGGGATTACAGGCACGTGCCACCATGCCCAGCTAGTTTTGTATTTTTAGTAGAGACGGGGTTTCTCTATGTTGGTCAGGTTGGTCTCGAACTCCCGACCTCAGGTGATCCACCCACCTCAGCCTCCCAAAGTGCTGGGATTACAGGCATAAGCCACTGCACCCGGCATTTTGTCTTGTTTTTAATGCAGGGTCTCGCTCTGTCACCCAGTCAGGAGTGCAGTGGCATGATAGCTCACTGCAGCCTCCAACTCCTGGCTCAAGCGATCCTCCCACCTCAACCTCCCAAGTAGCTGGGACTACTGTCACATGCCACCAGTCCCAGATGGTTGTGATCCTAGAGTACAATCATATTTCCCACCCCAGTGACTTTGGGGGTGGCCACGTGACTTGCTTTGACCAATGAAATGTGAGCAGAGGTGGCCTGTACCCCTTCCAAGGGGAAGTGCTGCAAAACAGTGCATAATTTGCTGCATTTTCTCTTCACAAAACCACCATGATGGGAACCAAACCTTAGCTGTTGGGCCCATGAAGTCTTGGGGGTGCTTGTTACTAAGCATAACCCAGTGCCTCCTAACTAACCCACTTCATCCCCATTCATCCATGTGGCAGCTCTTGGGGCAGCTACTTTTGTTACCATAAGGCAGTGGGGGTTCAGAGGCGAAGTTGCTGGAATTCCAACACCAGCAAAGCCTGTGTATTTCACAGAGATCCAACCCACTTTATGTTCTTCTCTATTTAGAGATAAGGTCTTGCCTTGTCACGCAGGCTGGAGGGCAGTGGCACAGTCATAGCCTACTGAAGCCTCTCTCTCCCAGGCTCAAGCAATCCTCCTGCCTCAGCCTCCTAACTAGCTAAGACTATATGTGTGTGTCACCATGGCCAGCTAATTAAAAAAAATTTTTTTTGTAGATTCGGGATCTCTTTATATTGCCTAGGCTGGCCTTGAACCCTTGAGCTTAGGCAGTCCTCCTGCCTCAGCCTCCCAAAGGTTGGGATCACAGGCATCAGATACTGTGCCCAGCCTCATTTACTTTTTAATTATTAATTTTTTTGAGACAGAGTCTCGCTCTGTCGTCCAGGCTGGAGTGCAGTGGTACGATCTCAGCTCACTTTAACCTCCATCTCCCGGGCTCAAGCAATTCCCCTGCCTCAGCCTCCTAAGTAGCTGGGATTACAGGCACGCACCACCATGCCCGGCTAATTTTGTATTTTGTAGAGTTGGTGTTTTTCTATGTTGGCTAGGGTGGTCTTGAACTCCTGAACTCAAGTGGTCCACCTGCCTCGGCCTCCCAAAGTGCTGGGATTGCAGGCATAAACCACTGGGCCCGGCTCTCATTTATTTTTATTTATTTATTTATCTGAAACAGGGTCTTGCTCTGTTGCCAAGGCTGGAGTGCTGTGGCGCAATTATGGCTCACCGCAGCCACGATCTCTTCAGCTCAAGCAATCTTCCCGTCTCAGCCTCCCAGGTAGCCGGGGTTACAGTCACACACCACTAAACCTGGCTAATTTTTGTTATTTTTAGTAGAGATGAGGTCTCCTTATGATGCCTAGGCTAGTCTCAAACTCCTGGCCTCAAGTGATTCTCCTGCCTCATCCTCCCAAACTGCTGGTATTGCAGGCCGCTGCGCCTGCCCCAGCCTACTTTAGGGCCAGCACTGCACTTGACAAACGCTAACTGAAATCATAACCCTCCCACAACTCTGTGAGGTTGGGTACTCTTGCTATGAGCTATTTGACGGACGGAAAAACTAACGCTGTTCAAAGAGGTCAAGTAACGCCTCCAAAGTCACAAGATTACAAAGTGGTGGAACTGGGACTCGAACTAGGTCCCAGACTCCGTGCTTTTAACAGCCGTGGGCATAGAAGGAGCTCTCTACACGCAGTTGGGAAAAATGAGACGTTGCTTGGCTAGGGCGGGCTCTAGACGCTCCGTGCAGCTTCCAGCCCCGCCCACCCGCTTTCTGCAAGCCCCGCCCAAGACTCGGCCCCGCTCGGTCCTCCCCCATCCCCCGCTCCGGGAACGGCCCCTCCTCTGCCTCCTGGGCGGAGCCCGCACGGGATCCGGGTGGCTGCAGGCTGCGGGCTTCGGCGGCTGCGGGGCAGGGGTCTCGGCCAAGGCCAGGCCGCAGCGAGTTCACCGGCTGATCTCCTGCGGGCGGCGCCCCAAACGCGAGGCGACCCCTGGGAAGGAGCGCAGCCCGCCCCGCCCCTCTCCATTCGAGCAGGTCTGTGGGGTACAGGGGTTTGGGGGGAAGGGTGGGGGGCCTGGAGAACAAAGGCGGGGCTGCGGGGAACGCCTCTGCCCTCGCCCCCACCCAGCTGGGCACTTGGGAAGCGCTGATGGGCGCGGGCGGGGCAGAGAGCCCAGCTGGGGACAGGCGTTGGGACCATATGGTGATGGGCGAAGTTCCCGAGCCACCTGCACTGACTGGGGCGCCCCAAATCTAATGAAGGGGGAGAGCGGCGAGCTCCCCGAGGCTGGGCTTGAGGGACGGTCGGCAGACGGTTAGAATGAGGTGGGACCGACTGACACAGGGGAGCTGAGGCTGGGGGAGGTGGGAGCCCCAGGCTTGAAGCCCTGCCCTGCGTGGGAAAAGGTTTCCTGCCTCTTCCCTTCCTCAAACTCGTTCTCCTGGAACACGGGGTGGGGCCGATTAGGTCCTCGTTTAAAGTGGAAAAAAGCCCCAAAGGCGGTTGAGAAATAGCTTTGCCAGGGTTTTCTCTGCCTCTGCCCAGCCTCTCTATGGGGTTCCCGCAGCAGCCATAGACAGCTGGGGAAACTAATGCCTTGGAGAGGTTATGAGGGTTGAGGGAGCACCCTGGACCCGGATGAAGTAGCATGTTGGAGTGTGGGCAGATTCAAGCAGCCCAGGCCTGGGAGAGATTGCCTGGAAAGACCAGCGGTGGTCGTGGTGGTGGGGTTGTGTTAATGAGGGGGCTGGGATGGTTTCTCTGGATATAGGACTCTCATTCCTACCTCCGTGGACTGGGGCTGGAGTGAGTCAGCCCTGGGCAGAAGGAGACAGGCCCAGCCCCTTTGACAAATAGAAAATGGCAGTACCCATTGAGGGGGTAGAACTGGCCTTTAAACCCGGGCTGTGTACATAGAAAACCCCTTCCCCCTGGAACTCAGAGAAGGAGTCATATTTGGCATGAGTTGGGGGAGGGCAGGTGCCCCAGGGGCTGACACCTGCCAAAGTCAACACCTAAGCCTTAATGGGGGGCTCTATCCAGCTTATCCAGTTGGCAGGTCCTCCCCCCACCCCACCCCACCCCAGCTTACACCTGGGCCACACCAGCTGCACACGCTGGGGCGAAGTCCACACCTGCGCCTTCTCCACAGTGTAGTTCTGCAGCGGCCAGAGCCCCTTACCCTCGGCCCTGAACTTGAACTCTTTGCCAGGCCTCTGGGTCTCCAGACAGGAAGGGTCTCCCCACCCTCCAGCCCAATAAAGACTCAGTTATGCCGTAGAGTGTGACGATTAAACAGCAGTCACATTTTTGGTGCCCCAACTGTATACCACGCACTGTCTAATGACCGTTATGTGTGTTAATATCTTCCCACTGGAAGGAACATGACCGCCTGAGGGTGGACTTTTTCTTGTCACAGCTGCATCTCCACGGAGAACAGGGCCTGGCACAGAGTAAACATTTGTTGAATGAATAAAGAAACACATTTTAGATCGGGTGTGGTGGCTCGTGCCTGTAATCCCAGCACATTGGAAGGCTGAGGCCCAAGGATTGCTTGAGCAAAGGAGTTTGAAACCAGCCTGGGCAACATAGTGAGACCCCATCTCTAAAAAAAAAAAAAAAATTGAGACAGAGTTTCGCTGTTGTTACCCAGGCTGGAGTGCAATGGCACGATCTTGGCTCACCGCAGCCTCCGCCTCCTGGGTTCAGGCAATTCTCCTGCCTCAGCCTCCTGAGTAGCTGGGATTACAGGCACACGCCACCATGCCCAGCTAATTTTTTGTATTTTTAGTTGAGACGGGGTTTCACCATGTTGACCAGGATGGTCTCGATCTCTTGACCTCGTGATCCACCTGCCTCAGCCTCCCAAAGTGCTGGGATTACAGGCTTGAGCCACCGCGCCTGGCTCTTTCTTCTTTTTTTTAGAGACAAGGTCTCGCTCTGCTGCCTGAGGCTGAAGGACACTGGCATCATCATAGTTTACTGTAGCCTTGACCTCCTGGGCTCAATCAATATTCCTATCTCAGCCTCCCAATGAGCTGGGAATACAGGCATGCCACCACATCAGGCTACATATATATATATACAATTAAAACATATATATATATAGTTTCCTATGATCCGTGAAATATATATATATATAGTTCTGTTTTGTTTTGAGATGGAGTCTTGCTCTGTCACCAGGCTAGAGTACAGTGGCACGATCTTGGCTCACGGCAGCCTCTGCCTCCTGGGTTCAAGCAATTCTCCTGCCTCAGACTCCCGAGTAGCTGTAATTACAGGTGCCCACCACCATGCCCAGCTAATTTTTGTATTTTTAGTAGAGATGGGCTTCACCATGTTGGTCAGGCTGGTCTCAAATTCCTGACCTTGTGATCTGCCCACCTCGGCCTCCCAAAGTGCTGGGATTACAGGTGTGAGCCACCACATTCAGCTTAAAAAATATTTTTTGGGGCCGGACATGGTGGCTCACACATATAATCCCAGCACTTTGGGAGGCCGAGGCGGGTGGATCACAAGGTCAAGAGATTGAGACCATCCTGGTCAACAAGGTGAAACCCCATCTCTACTAAAAATACAAAAATTAGCTGGGCATGGTGGTGCCCGCCTGTAGTCCCAGCTACTCGGAAGGCTGAGGCAGGAGAATTGCTTGAACCCAGAAGGCGGAGGTTGCGGTGAGCCGAGATCGTGCCATTGCACTCCAGCCTGGGTAACAAGAGCGAAACTCCGTCTCAAAAAATAAAAATAAAAATAAAAAAAGAAGAAATTTTAGGCTCACAAACAACTACTCTTTCAGGAAGGGACTATGACAAACATCCCATTTTGCAGAAGAGGAGACTGCGGTCCAGAGGGAGCAAGCGATGCATCCAGCATCATGTGGCTTCCAAGTGACCGAGCTGAGATTTGAATCCAGCCCTGGTGCATCCCACAGGAGCTATTATTGATGTTTGATTCCCCTGCAGGACGCCCGTCTTCCCTCTCTGAGGATTTCAGGCCTCCCTGTCCTAGGAGGCTTGGGCCAAGATGGCATCAGCTGGAGACCCCCCAGCAGGCCCACGAGATGCGGCAGATCAGAACTTCGACTATATGTTCAAACTGCTGCTGATCGGCAACAGCAGCGTGGGCAAGACGTCCTTCCTGTTCCGCTACGCGGACGACTCTTTCACGCCTGCCTTCGTTAGCACCGTGGGCATCGACTTCAAGGTCAAGACCGTCTACCGCCATGACAAGAGGATCAAGCTGCAGATCTGGGTAGGCCAGGAGGCTCTCTGTGGGTTGGGGGGTGGGGTCCGTCCAGGGAAGTTCATTGGAGGGTTCTTTTTTTTTTTTTTTTTTCTGGAGGCGGAGTCTCTGTCACCCAGGCTGGACTGCAGTGGTGGGATCTTGGCTCACTGCAACCTCCGTCTCCTGGGTTCAAGCAATCCACAGGAGCTATTCTTGGTGTAGCCTCCAATACACCTCCTGCCTCAGCCTCCCGAGTAGCTGGGATAATAGACGTGAGCCACCACACCCAGCTAATTTTTGTATTTTTAGTAGAAACGAGGTTTCACCATGTTGGCCAGGCTGGTCTTGAACTCCTGACCTCAGGTGATCCACCCACCTCGGCCTCCCACAGTGCTGGGATTATAGGCATGAGCCCCTGCGCCTGGCCTCACTGGAGAGTTCTTCTGGCTGTGGGGAGGGTTCTCAAGTGAGGAGACGTAGCCCCAAGTTGGGATGTGCACTTAGGACAGGTGTGAAGAATGGGGGTAATTATCTACTAGGCGAATTTATCAGGATGAGGGGACATGCTCTGCCCTGGTCGAGGGGACTCTGAGGGAGACAGTGTTATTCCTGGGTCTGACTGGGGAGATGATACTAACCTAAAACACGTTTGAGGCTGAGCGCAGTGGCTCATGCCTGTAATCCCAGCACTTTGGGAGGGCAGATCACAAGGTCAAGAGGTCGAGACCAGCCTGGCCAACTTGGTGAAACCCCCGTCTCTACTAAAAATACAAAAATTATTTGGGCATGGTGGCACATGGCCATAGTCCCAGCTACTCAGGAGGCTGAGACAGGAGAATCGTTTGAACCCAGGAGGCAGAGGTTGTAGTGAGCTGAGATCGCACCACTGCACTCCAGCCTAGCGACAGAGCAAGACTCTGTCTTGAAAAACAAATGTTCGAATTACTGCTGATACTACGCATGGTGGCTCACGCCTGTAATCCCAACGCTTGGGAGGCCGAGGTGGAGGATCACTGGAGCCCAGGAGTTCCAGACCAGCCTCACAGTGAGACATAGTGAGATCTCATCTCTACAAAAAATCTAAAAATTAGCCAGCATGGTAGCTCCTGCCTGTAGTCCCAGCTACTCAGGAGGCTGACATGGGAGGATTGCTTGAGCCCAGGAGTTGAGGCTGCAGTGAGCTGTGATTGCACCACTGCACTCCAGCCTGGGTGACAGAGCAAGGCCCCATTTATTAAAATTAAAAAAAGAAAGGGTTGGGCACAGTGGCTCACACCTGTAATCCCAGCACTTTGGGAAGCTGAGGCGGGTGGATCACGAGGTCAGGAGTTTGAGACCAGCCTGGTCAACATGGTAAAACCCCGTCTCTACTAAAAATACAAAAATTAGCCAGGCATGGTGGCACACACCTATAGTCCCAGCTACTCATGAGGCTGTGGCAGAAGAATCGCTTGAACCTGGGAGGCGGAGGTTGTAGTGAGCAGAAATCATGCCACTGCACTCCAGCCTGGGTGACAGAGTGAGACTCCATCTCAAAAAAAAAAAAAAAAAAAGTTCCCAGATGCTGGTGACCATTGGGAAGGAGTTTTGGGTACCATCTTAGAGGGGGCTCCTGGGATTCCCACTGAACCAGCCTGGTCTGCAGAACTACACCCAGCCCGCTCTCCCAACTCAGTCACTGTAACAATCATGGTAGCAAGAGTACCAAGTGTCCTATCAAGATGGTACCACCTGGCCCAGTGGGTTCTTACTTGAAGTTGTTAAGTTGGTTTTTTTTTTGGAGATGGAGTCTCACTCTGTCGCCCAGGCTGGAGTGCAGTGGCGTGATCTAGGCTGACTGCAACCTCCCGGGTTCAACCAGTTCTCCTGCCTCAGACTCCCGAGTAGCTGAGACTACAGGTGCCCACCACCACGCCTGGCTGATTTTTGTATTTTTTTAGCAGAGACGGGACTTCACCATATTGGCCAGGCTGGTCTCGAATTCCAACCTTGTAATCCACCCGCCACAGCCTCCCAAAGTGCTGGGATTACAGGCATGAGCCACCACACCTGGCTGAAGTTGGTTCTTAGAGATGAGGTCAAAGGGGCTTATAAGTCTGTGACCCCTGAAACTTGGAACCCCTCAAGGGCAAGTCCAAGTCCAAGTCTCTCCCTCATCAGACTGGGGAGGTCCCTTGAGAATTAATCCATGCCTCCTCCATCAGACTGGGGCTATGAGGGCAGAGTCTGTGTATTCTCCATCAGACCAGAGGTTGTACAAGCAGGTTTGTGTTTGCCCCATAAGACGGGGCTGTGAGCACAGGACAGTGCCTCTCTCAGACAGGGGTGGATGGGAAACATGTTCCCAGCCAACTGTCACTGCCGTTTGTCCAGGACACAGCAGGCCAGGAGCGCTACCGTACCATCACCACAGCCTACTACCGGGGAGCCATGGGCTTCCTGCTCATGTATGACGTCGCCAACCAGGAATCCTTTGCCGCAGTGCAGGACTGGTGAGTGCTTGCTGACCACGGACCCCGATCTTTGCCCTCTCCTCTGACCCCTAATCCCCCCGTGCTCATGGCTCACGACTGGTAACTCTGCAGGGCCACACAAATCAAGACCTACTCCTGGGACAACGCCCAGGTCATCCTGGTGGGGAACAAGTGTGACCTGGAGGACGAACGTGTTGTGCCTGCTGAGGATGGTCGGAGGCTCGCCGATGACCTTGGTTAGTGTGCAGCCTGGGCCACAGGCCCTGGGTCTCCCAGAACCAAACCCCCGTCCCCATCCTCAGATTCAGGGTCCAACCCAGTCACCAACCCTTTGAGGATCTGCCCAGGAAAATACCCATGTGTACGCCACCTTTGCTGTTTAATTTCAGGGGATCCATGCACAGGAACCCCCACTACCCCACTGCCTATGCCCGGGGAGCCCAGCAAAACCATTTCTGGAAGCTGATCCTATAGATATCCTCACTCGTGGGATGTAGTGTTTATAGTGTGGCAGCAGTGTTAGTAAAAGTGAAATCAGCCGGGCGCAGTGGCTCACACCTATAATCCCCGCACTTTGGGAGGCTGAGGCAGGTGGATCACCTGAGGCCAGGAGTTCGAGACCAGCATGGCCAACATGGTGAAACCCCATCTCTACTGAAAATACAAATAAAAATAAAAAAGTTAGTAAAAGTGAAACCTATGATCCCTACCCAGATGTCTCACAGTTGGGGAATGAAGTGGACATAAAGTATATTCACATAGTGGAATACTATGCAGCTGTGGAAAAGGATGAGGATGTTCTTTATTTTTATTTTTTGTAGAGACAGGGTCTTACTATGTTGCCCAGCCTCCTGGCTTCAAACACCTGGCCTCAAGTGATCCTCCCTCCTCGGCCTCCCAAAGTGCTGGGACTGCAGGGGCGAGCCACCACACCTGGCCAAGGGAATGTTCTTCATGGTTTGTCGTTGTTGTTGTTGAGATGGAGTCTCACTCTTGAATATCCGGAATTACAGGTGCGCGCATCATGCCTGACTAATTTTTGTATTTTCAGTAGAAATGGGGTTTCGCCGTGTTGGCCAGGCTGGTCTCGAACTCCTGACAGGCGATCCACTCACCTTGGCCTCCCAACGTTGGGATCACAGGCATGAGCCACCACACCCGGTCATTCTTTATGTTTTGATATGGTCATGTCTCTGGCTAGGCAGAAAAAGCAAACAGCAAAATGGTGGATACGGCCGCTTCCTTTAGTCCAGAGGTCAGCAAACCTTTTCTTAAAGGGCCAAATAGTAAATATTTTTGGCCATATGCTCTCTGTGGCAACTACTCAACTCTGCTTGAGAGCAGCCACAGACAGTGCATAAATGAATGGGTGTGTCTGTTTGCCAATAAAACTTTATTTTATTTATTTATTTTTTTAATCCCCGTACCAACCAATAAAACTTTAATTGTGGCCAGGCGTGGTGGCTCACACCTGTAATCCCAACACTTTGAGAGGCTGAGGCAGGTGGATCACCTGACTTCAGGAGTTGAGACCAGCTTGGCCAACATGGCAAAACTCTGTCTCTACTAAAAATACAAAAAACACAGCTGGGCGTGGTGGCAGATGCCTGTAATCCCAGCTACTTGGGAGGCTGTGGCAGGAGAATCACTTGAACCTGGGAGGTGGAGGTTGCAGTGAACCGAGATTGCGCCATTGTACTCTAGCCTGGGCAACAAGAGCGAAATTGTTTCCAAAAAAAAAAAAAACAGATCAGACGCGGTGACTCACACCTGTAATCCTAGCATTTTGGGAGGCCGAGGCAGGTGGATCACAAGGTCAGGAGTTCAAGACCAGACTGGCCAACATGGTGAAACCCCGTCTCTACTAAAAAATACAAAAATTAGCTGGGTGTGGTGGCTCGTGCCCGTAATCTCAACTACTTGGGAGGCTGAGGTAGGAGAATTGCTTGAACCGGGACCCAGGAGGCGGAGGTTGCAGTGAGCTGAGATTGAGCCACTGCACTCCAGCCTGGGCTACAGAGCAAGACTCCATCTCAAAAAATAAAAAAAAAAGCATTCAAATACATTCACAAGTAGAAAGGAATGTATAATACACTTCCATAAAACCTTATTCAGCTTAATTAAATCTCAATATTTAATCAATCTGGAATCATCTATTCCTTCAAAATGCTTTTCCTTTTTTATTTTATTTTTTATTTTTATTTATTTATTTATTTATTTTGAGACGGAGTTTTGCTCTTGTTACCCAGGCTGGAGTGCAATAGCGCCATCTCGGCTCACCGCAACCTCCACCTCCTGGGTTCAGGCAATTCTCCTGCCTCAGCCTCCTGAGTAGCTGGGATTACAGGCACGAACCACCATGCCCGGCTAATTTTTTTGTATTTTTAGTAGAGATGGAGTTTCACCATGTTGACCAGGATGGTCTCAATCTCTTGACCTCGTGATCCACCCGCCTTGGCCTCCCATAGTGCTGGGATTACAGGCTTGAGCCACCGCGCCCGGCCAATACTTTTCCTTTTTTCCTGGAGCATTGGGAAACAAACCCTGACATCCAGCCCTTTGTCTATAATCACTTCGCTATGTAACTCCAGCTGTTTTGTTGTTGTTGTTATTGTTGTTGAAATAATAGAGACAGAGCTTCACGCTTTCACCCAGGCTGGAGTACAGTGGTGTGATCCCACCACTTTGGGAGTCTGAGGAGGGAGGATTGCTTGAACCCAGGAGTTGGAGACCAGCCTGGGCAACATAGTGAGACCCCAACTCTACAAAATAAGTTCAAGGCTCCCTGCAGCCTCGGACTCCTGGGTTCAAGCGATCCTGCTGCCTCAGCCTCCCAAGTAGCTACGACTACTAGGATAAGCCGGCACACCGGCTAATTTTTAATTTTTTTGTAGAGGCAAAGTCTCACTATGTTGCACTGGCTGGTCGTGAACTCCTGGGCTCAAGCAATTGGCCCACCTCAGCCTCCCAAAGTGTTGAGATTATAGGCCTGAGCCACTGTACCTGGTTGGTTTTTACCTTTTTTTTTTTTTTTTTTTTTTTTTTTTTTGAGGCAGAGTCTAGCTCTGTCACCCAGGCTGGAATGCAATGACTAGATCTCGCCTCACCGCAACCTCTGCCTCCCAGGTTCAAGTGATTCTCCTGCCTCAGCGTCCTGAGTAGCTGGGATTACAGGCATCTGCCCCCACACCTGGCTAATTTTTTGTATCTTTAGTAGAGATGGGTTTCAACATGTTGGCCAGGCTGATCTCAAACTCCTGACCTCATGATCCACCCACCTGGGCCTCCCAAAGTGCTGGGATTACAGGTGTGAGCCACCACACCCAGCCCAGTTTTTACATTTTTAAGTGGTTGAAAAAAATATATATCTTATGACATGGGAAACTTACATGAAATTCAAATTTGTATCTATACATGAAGTTTTTCTGAGACACAGCCATGCCATTTGCTTTTCTAATTTATTGTTTCTGTTTTTGAGACGAGGTCTCTCTCTGGTGCTCAGGCTGGAGTGCAGTGGTACAACTACAGCTCAATGCAGCCTCCAGCTCCTGGTTTCAAGCGACCCTCCCCTCTCAGCCTCCCCGGTAGTTGAGACTACAGGTGTACTCCACACAGTGGCCTAATTAAAAACACAAAAATTGGCCGGGCGCGGTGGCTCCCACCTGTAATCCCAGCACTTTGGGAGGCCGAGGTGGGTGGATCACCTGAGCTCAGGAGTTGGATACCAGCCTGGCCAACATGGAAAAACCTCTCTCTACTAAAAAGACAAAAATATTAGCCGGGCATTGTGGTGGTCACCTGTAATCCCAGCTACTCAGGATGCTGAGGCAAGAGAATTGCTTAAACCCGGGAGTCGGAGGTTGCAGTGAGCCGAGATTTCATCATGCACTCTAGCCTGGGCAACAGAGCAGAACTCCATCTCAAAAAAAAAAAAAATTGGCCAGGCATGGTGGCTCAGGCCTATAATCCCAGCACTTTGGGAGGCCGTGGTGGGTGGATCCTTTCAGAAGTTCAGCATCACCCCAGCCAACATGGTGAAACCCGCCTCTACTAAAAATACCAAAAAAATTAGCCAGGAGTGGCGGGGAATGCCTGTAATCCCAGCTAGTCAGGAGGCTGAGGCAGGAGAATGGTTTGCACCCTGGAGGCAGAGGTCGCAGTGAGCTGAGATCGTGACATTGCACTACAGCCTGGGCAACAAAGTGAGATTCCATCTCAAAAAAAACAATGTTTTTAAGAGATAGGTCTTGCCATGTTCCTGGGCTGATCTTGAACTCTTGGTCTTAACCAATCCTCCCACCTCGGCCTCCCAAAGTGCTGGGATCACAGGAGTGAACTCACACCCATTCCCAGCTGATGCCTATTTATTGATGCATTGTCTGTGGTTGCTTTTGTGCTTCAAGGGCAGAACTGAGTAATTGAGACAGAGACCATATGACCCAGAAAGCCTAAAATATTTATGATCTGGCCCTTGACAGAGAAGGTTTGCTGGCCTCTGAGCTATAACCATCCCTTTCCCCTTTTATTCTTGCCGTTGCTTGGTTGGAGAAACTGGGTCTTCGTCGTATGGGGCAGGGCTCTGGCACCCCAGGTGGCCTGGAAGTGAAGTGGGTTACGCCTGCCACGGGCTGGAATACTTGTAGGTGTTTCCCATACTTACTTGCAGATCATATCTGGGTTCTTGGGGGAAGGTGGGATTCTCACTTTCTGTTATGTTTATTTTTATTTTATTTATTTATTTTTTTAATTATAAAGATGGGGCTTCACCATGTTGGTCAGGCTGGTCTTGAACTCCCGACCTCAGGTGATCCGCCCACCTTGGCCTCCAAAGTGCTTGGATCACAGGTGTGAGCCACCATGCCCGGCCTTCTGTTATGTTTAAAACATAATAGTACAGTCTGGACGCGGTGGCTCACGCCTGCAATCCCAGCACTTTGGGAGGCTATGTTGGTCAGGCCGGTCTCAAACTTGCAATCTCAGGTGATCCACCTGCCTTGGCCTCCTAAAGTGCTAGGATTATAGGCATGAGCCACCACGCCTGACCTGATCCCAATTTTGTAGAAAAAAAAAAGCCAGACCCACATACATGTGCACACACACATCCCCTACAAACCTAACCCCACCAGCGACATATTTATATAGAAAAAGACCAAAGGCTGGGCATGGTGGCTCTTGCCTGTAATCCAGGCACTTTGGGAGGTCAAGGCAGAAGGATCACTTGAGTCCAGGAGTTAGAGACCAGCGTGGGCAACATGGTGAAACCTCACCCCTATAAAAAATACCAAAAGTTGTCTGTGTGTGGTGGCACACCCCCATAGTTGCAGCTACTTGGGAGACTGAGGTGGGAAGATCACTTGAGCCTAAGAATTGAGGCTGCAGTGAGTTATGATGGTGCCACTGCACTCCGGCCTGGGCAACAGAGGGACACTCAGTCTCAGAAAGAAAAAAAAGGGTGAGAAAAAGAAAAGCTTGGTGGCTCATGCCTGTAATCCCAGCACTTTGGGAGGCTGAGACCAGTGGATCATAAGGGCAAGAGATCGAGATCATCCAAAAATTAGCTGGGTGTGGTGGCACGCACCTGTGGTCCCAGCTTCTCGGAAGATGGAGAAGAGGTGGGAGAATCGCTTGAATCCAGGATGCAGGGGTGGAGGCTGCAGTGAGCTGAGATCGAACCACTGCACTCTAGCCTGGCGACAAAGTGAGACTCCATCTCAGAAAAAAAAAAAAAAAAAAAAGATGAATAAAGACTAGAAAGCGAAATAGCAAAACAATTACCAATAGTAATTGTTTCCACATGATAAGACTACAGATGACTTTTATCTTGATCTCTGTACTTTTCTTTCTTTCTTTTTTTCTTTTTTTTGAAGACGGGGTTTCACCATGTTGGTCAGGCTGGTCTTGAACTCCTGACCTCAGGTGATCCGCCCACCTTAGCCTCCAAAGTCAGCCACCACGCCCAGCCTTCTTTGCTTTTTTCTTTTCTTTTCGTTTGAGACAGGATCTCACTCTGTTGCCCAGGCTGGAGTGCAGTGGCATGACCTTGGCTCTCTGCAGCCTCGACTTTCCTGGCTCAGGTCGTCCTCCTACCTCAGCCTCCCAAGTAGGTGGGACTACAGGCACATGCCACCACACCTGGTTAATTTTTTTTTCTTTCCTTTTTTTAGACAGAATCTCACTCTGTCACCAGGCTGGAATGCAGTGGTGTAATCTCGGCTGCTATAACCTCTGCCTCTCGGGTTCAAGCGATTGTTCTGCCTCAGCCTCCCAAGTAGCTGGGATTACAGGCACGTACCACCATGCCCAGCTAATTTTTGTATTTTTAGTAGAGATGGGGTTTCACCATATTGGCCAGGCTGGTCTTGAACTCCTGACCTTGTGATTAGCCCACCTTGGCCTCCCAAAGTGCTAGGATTACAGATGTGAGCCACTGCACCTGACACTTTATTTTTTTGAGACAGTCTCCTTCTGTCACCCAGGCTGGAGTGCAGTGGCGCAGTCTCGGCTCACTGCAACCTCTGCCTCCCAGGTTCAAGTCATCCTCCTGCTTCAGCCTCTGAAGTAGCTGGGATCACAGGCGTGCACCACCATGCCCAGCTAATTTTTGTATTTTTAGTAGAGATGGGGTTTCACTATGTTAGCCCAGGTTGGTCTTGAACTCCAGACCTCATGCGATCCTTGCCTTGGCCTCCCAAGGGATTACAGGCACGAGCCACCACGCCTAACTTAATTTTTATATTTTCTTTACAGACTGGGTCTTGCTATGCTGCCAGGCTAGTCTCGAACTCCTGAGCTCAGGTGATCCACCTGCCTCAGTCTCCCAAACTACTGGGATTACAGGCTGTCTCAATACTTCCCTGTAGTTTCTAGTTTCTCCAGTAAATTTCTCTAGTGAACAATATATTTTTTTTTAATCTTGTCTTTTTATTTTTAAAAATTTTATTTTAGATACAGGGTCTCCCTCCGTATGTTACCCAGGCTGGTCTTGAACTCCTGGGTTCAAGTGATTTTCCCACCTCGGCCTCCCAAGTAGTTGGGAATACAGGTGCACATCACCGTGCCTGATTAATATCAGAAAAAGAAGTGCAGTGGCTCACACCTGTAATCCCCGCACTTTGGGAGGCTCAGGCAGGCGGATCACCAGCCTGGCAAAAATGGTAAAATCCCATCTCTACTGAAAATACAAAAATTAGCCTGGCATGGTGGTGTGCGCCTGCTACTTGGGAGGCTGAAGCAGGAGAATCACTTGAACCCAGGAGGAGGCTGAGTTTGCAGTGAGCCGAGATTGCACCAGCGCACTCCAGCCTGGGCAACAAGAGTGAAAGCTGGTCTCAAAAAAAAGAAAAATGAAGAACACCGATTGTATGAGACACGGCCACATGTGGATAGGGAAACCACTAAATCTGCCCAGGAAGTCAGTGGGTGGCTTTGATATCTTTAGGCTCACAGTAGGAGATCTAGGTTCATGCCCTGCCTCTGCTATTCATCCATTTACCCATTCATTCATTCAATCATTCAGCAGTTTCTTTTTCTTTTTCTTTTTCTCTTTTTCTTTTTTTTTAGACAGAGTCTTGCTCTGTTGCCCAGGCTGGAGTGCAATGACATAATCTCGGTTCACTGCAACCTCTGTCTCCCGGGTTCAAGCAATTCTCCTGCCTCGGCTTCTGGAGCCGGGATTACAGGCCACCACGACGCCTGGATAATTTTTGTATTTTAGTAGAGATGGGGTATCACCATGTTGGCCAGGCTGGTCTTGAACTCCTGACCTCGTGACCGACCCACTTTGGCCTCCCAAAGTGCTGGGATTACAGGCATGAGCCACTGTGCTTGGCCTCAGCAGACAGTTTCCAAGCAACCTCTCCGTGTCAGGCACTGGGGTGCAGCCATGGACGGAAATCCTGCCTGCCTGGAGCTGGCTTTCTAGTAGCAGAGACAGATCATAAACGGATAATTAAACACCTAATTCATTATGATTCCATTTTTACAGTGCAGCATGACGCACGGGGAAGACAGGCCCCACTTACCCTGGGTCACGTGTAATGTGGCAGGTGTTTGTCTGAATGTCTGGCTTACCTTGGTGATGTGGCAGGTGGCGCTGCATGGGACAGCTCGTCTCAGGCAGACCCTCAGGCACCCTTAAAAGGATGCAGGGGCTGGGCACGGTGGCTCAAGCCTGTAATCCCCGCACTTTGGGAGGCCGAGTCAGGCAGATTACAAAGTCAGGAGATTGAGATCATCCTGGCTAACACGGTGAAACCTCGTCTCTACTAAAAATACAAAAAATAAAAATAAAAAAATTAGTCAGGCATGGTGGCACACGCCTGTAGTCCCAGCTACTTGGGAGGCTGAGGCAGGAAAATCGCTCGAACCCAGGAGGTGGAGGTTGCAGTGAGCTGAGATCTCACCACTGCACTCAGCCTGGGCAACAGAGCAAAACTCCATCTCAAAAAAAAAAAAAAAAAAGGATGCAAGAAGCCCAGTGTGGTGGCTCAAGATCAGCCTGCACAACATAGTGAGTGAGACCCGCACCTCTGCAAAATCAAAAGGTTAAAACTTAGCTGGGCATGGTGGGGCACGCCTATAGCCTCAGCTACTCAGGCCAAGGCGGGAGATCACGTGAGCCCAGGAGGTTGAGGCTGCAATGAGCCGAGTTCACACCACTACACTCTGGCCTGGGCAATAGAGACCATTTCTCTTTTTTTTTTCTTTTTTGAGACGGAGTCTTGCTCTGTCGCCAGGCTGGAGTGCAATGGCGCGATCTCGGCTCACTGTAATCTCCGCCTCCTGGGTTCAAGCCAGTCTTCGGCCTCAGCCTCCCAAGTAGCTGGGACTACAGGCATGCGCCACCACACCCAGCTAATTTTTGTATTTTTAGTAGAGATGGGGTTTCACCATGTTGGCCAGGCTCGTCTCGATCTCTTGACTACATGACTGCCTGCCTTGGCCTCCCAAAGTGCTGGGATTACAGGCTTGAGCCACCACCCCCGGCGAGAGACCAACCGTTGCTCTTAAAAAAAGCAGTGAAAAAATGTGACTTGGTGGGTCCCCTGACCATGCCTTTCTGTGTAGCAGAAATTGGGTGGAAACTGAGCTATAGCCACCTGTGGGAACTGCCATGGCCTCTGGGCAGCAGAACTCCACGTTCCCACCTACTTAGATTGTTGCAGCCACTACCTTGTGACAAAGAGATTCTTAGGATTGTTCAGGCCACGGCTGCAGCTGCAGGACTTGGTTTTGTTTCGTTTTTGAGACAGGGTCTTGCTCCACGGCTCAGGCTGAGTGCCGTGGTACAGCCATGGCTCACTGCAGCCTTGACCTCCTGTGCTCCAGTGATTCTTCTGCCTCAACCTCACAAGTAGCTGAGACTGCAGATGAATGCCACCACGCCCATCTAATTGTTTTTTTTTTTTTTTTTTGAGACAGAGTCCCATTCTGTCACCCAGGCTGAAGTGTAGTGGCGTGATTTCAGCTCACTGAAACGTCCACCTCCCAGATTCAAGCACTTCTCCTGCCTCAGCCTCCCAAGTAGCTGGGATTACAGGCGTGTGCCACCATGCCCAGCTAATTTTTTTGTATTTTTAGTAAAGACAGGGTTTCACCATGTTGGTCAGGCTGGTCTTAAACTACTACCCTCAAATGATCTGCCCTCCTCGGCCTCCTAAAGTGCTGGGATTATAGGCATGAGCCACCGTGCCTGGCTGCCCATCTAATTTTTTAAACAATTTATTGTAGTGACACAGCCTTGCTATGTTGCCCAGGCTGGTCTTGAACTCCTGGCCTCAAGCGATCCTCCCACCTTAGCTTCCCTTAGTGATAGGATTACAGGCATAAGCCCCAGCACCTGGGTTGTCACAGATTTTTATCATTGGTAGGATCATTGTTCCCATTTTACAGAGGAGCAAACTGAGGCTTGGAGTGGCAAAGGCACTCGGCCAAGATCCCACAGCAGGATAAAGGGCAGAACGAGGCTTAGAACCCAGGTTTTTGTGATGCCACAGCTGAGACTCTGCCCCTCAGGAGTCTCACAAGTGTCCCCACCTTAACTTTCATCCAGGTTTCGAATTCTTTGAAGCCAGCGCCAAGGAGAACGTCAATGTGAAGCAGGTCTTCGAGCGCCTGGTGGATGTCATCTGTGAGAAGATGAACGAGTCCCTGGAACCCAGCTCCAGCTCAGGCAGCAACGGGAAAGGGCCGGCCCTGGGGGATGCTCCAGCCCCGCAGCCCAGCAGCTGCAGCTGCTAGAGATGGCCCCAACCCCCCACCCACCCCTCTCCTGCCTCGGTAGGGACTGTGATCGAGGCATGAGCCACAGTGGTTATTCTCAAGCTCAGGGCAATCCCTCCCCTCCTGTCAACTGCCCCTCAACTCCTGCATGGCTCGCTCCTTCACTGCGTCACCGTGGCTGCCAGGTTGCTCAGGCAGCCCCGGTGAGAGGCGCCAGACCGTGGGGACTCAGCCCCGCACGGCCGGCAGGGGCCCGGGGACATTGGCATGCTTGAGCTTGCTGCTTTTCAGGGTGCGTTAAGAAGGGTGGCCACGGGCGACGCGTCTCACCCCGTCTGATGGAGGGGCATCCGTGGTGCCTTCTGGTTTAGAACCATTTTCCAGGTCTGTTCTGGGTTGGGCAGGACTGATATTCCCAAGCTGGCGGAGGAGGGTTCATCTTCCTTGCACAGTGTGGGTTCTTGGAGTTCATCGAGGGAAGGCAGCGCCTCTTTCTCAGGTCCTGTAGGCTGGTCTCTGAGCCTGCCCCTCGAACTTTCTGGACTCCACGGTGGGATGGTGATTTTGACCCCTGCATACCCTCTACTTGGAAAAGCAGCATTAAAGCAGCCTTTCCCCATTGTAGAAGGGACAGGGAGACAGATCCTCTCAACCCCCCATCCCCAGCTTCAGGGACCCCAGAAGTGCCTTCTGAGCTTCCCCGAAGATCCACGTCACCCACAACCCTGCCACTGTTCTGATCCTGAATTGAATTCTGGAACCATGGACCACATTAGATGGGGCAGAGGCTCACCCAACCCCTAGCACTCTCACTCCGGGCTTTCTGCCAGAAGTTAATTAACCTCAGAGCCAGCAGCCTGGGCCTCCTGCCCGGGCCCTGTTTGGCTGGATGTGTTTAAAGCAAGTTCTTGCCCCATCATTCATCCTGCTAGAAAAGGAAATGAAGCAACGTACCCAGCCACGGCAGGCAGTTGTCGGCGACTTTCTGAGACAAGCATCTGGGCTTCTCCCACTTGAGGGGCGCCCTTCGAGACCCGATGACCATTTCCCAATCATCATCGGCAGGGCTGGGGGATGTGACAATTTTTGCTAATGGAGGAGTCGCTTCTTTTTTTTTGAGATGGTCTCACTCGGTCGCCCAGGCTGGAGTGCAGTGGTGCAACCATATCTCACTGCAGCCTCAAACTAGGGGTCGCTTCTAGGGGACGCTGGGGGTTGGGCGGAAGGGGCAAGGAGGTAGGGTCGAGTAACCTGCTGTCACTGCTAGTACTTTCCAGACAGCCTGGGAGGGGCAGGCCCTTATGTGAATGGGGGCCATGGGCTGTGATCAGTGCCAGGGAGTCCATGAAGCTGGAGTCTCCACCTGCGGGGGCTTCTGCTCAGAGGTTGTGTGTTCAGTGCGAAGATTTACATCTTGACCTCCAGTTCAGAGACACTTTCTGCCCATCAAATTCCAAACTCTGGTGGCACAGCACCTTTTTTTGTTTTGCTCGCAAACACTAACCAACACCCCTTAATAGGACCAGCACTGTGAGGATGGCTGAGCGGAGGTTTTATGCTCAACCTCCCCGACTTCGTTTCAAAGGCTGTGTCTCTTCTCCCAGCCCCTGCAGCCAAAACGACTTCTGCAGCTTTCGTGAGCTCAGCCTCTTCCCTGGGGTATGTGTAAGGGGGAAAGCCCGGTTCCTGTTTAGATTTATTTCTAGGGAGCCCCGGTTACTTCATACCAGAGGCGACCCTTAGAACTTCGGAGTGAGGATATCTTGTTTTTCATTTTTTGTTTTTTGAGACGGAGTTTCACTCTTGCCCAGGCTGGAGTGCAGTGGCACGATCTCAGCTCACTGTAACCTCCACCTCCGGGATTCAAGCGCTTCTCCTGCCTCAGCCTCCTGAGTAGCTGGAATTACAGGCACGTGTCAGCACACCTAGCTAAACTTTGTATTTTTAGTAAAGAACGTGTTTCACCACATTGGCGAGGCTGGTTTCAGACTCCTGCCTTCAAGTGTCCCGCTTGCCTTGGCCTCCCAAAGCGCTGGGATTACAGACATGCGCCATCACACCCAGCAGAGGGTATCTTTTTGTACCGACAAAGTAGATGACTGAGGTGAAATGGACAAATCCTATAAACACACAAAGCGAGGGTATCTGAGAATGTGGGCGGGAGACGAAAGTCTTTGGTTGCTTTAACACTAAAGTCAAACTAAAGCAGCTTCAAAAAGACTTTTTTTTTTTTTTTGAGACGGAGTTTCGCTCTTGTTACCCAGGCTGGAGTGCAATGGCGCGATCTCGGCTCACCGCAACCTCCGCCTCCTGGGTTCAGGCAATTCTCCTGCCTCAGCCTCCTGAGTAGCTGGGATTACAGGCACACGCCACCGTGCCCAGCTAATTTTTGTATTTTTAGTAGAGACGGGGTTTCACCATGTTGACCAGGATGGTCTCGATCTCTTGACCTCGTGATCCACCCGCCTCGGCCTCCCAAAGTGCTTGGATTACAGGCTTGAGCCATCAAAAAGACTTCTTAGAATGCAATATGGACTGTTGATGTTTTTCTGTTCTTTTTTTTTTTTGAGTTGGAGTCTCGCTCTGTCACCCAGACAGGAGTGCTGTGGTGTGATCTCAGCTCACTGCATCCTCCACCTCCTGGGTTCAAGCAATTCTTCTGTCTCCACCTCCTGAATATCTGGGACTACAGGCACCTGCCGCCACACTCGGCTAATTTTTGTATTTTTATTGGAGACAGGGTTTCACGATGTTGGCCAGGCTGGTTTTGTTGGCCAATTGTCTCTAAACTGCTGTCAAAAAAAAAAAAAAAAGTGGATCAGATTGTCTTGAATACGGCAGAGCTGACCTGTCACCTCCTGCATGATAAGAAACAGTTTGGGCTGCATCTTGCTCCTTACCTGGCCTCAGCTTTCTGTTTCCATAAGATTTTTTTCAAGAGTTCAACTTCAAGTAGCAGCTGAGAGGCTGCCTCAGGATTCTCACAAAGACTGGGAATCATATGGGAACATTTGTTTCTTTTAAAAATAAGGCAAATGTTACAGTGAATGGCTTTGGGAGTGAGGGTTAATTGGAGATAGTCTCTAGGTGAAATTGTTGTTTTTACAGGTTACCTCTGGGGAATGGAGGTTTGTCGAGTTTACAGACACATTAAACCAAAGGCCGAGGGAAAATCCCTCTCCAGCTCCAGGGGTTGAAGTCAGGACCACCCGCCCACCAGTGCCTTCCTCACTTTTAGCAGCTTGTGTTTCCACGGGCAGTTTTGGTGGGAAATTGCCATGACCACAGCGGTTTGGAGTTCTGTTTTTTTCCTTCTTTTTGGGAGGACTGGGGGAAACTCCTCCCAAGATCACGTTCTAGCATCTTTCTCTCCTACTCCATTTAGAAAAAGCAAGTAAAAGGTAAAATGTGGTCTCAGTGTGAAAGCGATAACTCCCCTACTGGCTCCTCCCTGAGAAATACACTACGGAGTGAGGTCTGCCTGGTCATTTCTATCCTGGATGTGGTTCTTCTGTGTAGCAATTCCTTGATGTCCAGTTTGGGAAGATGTGCTCTTTTCTCCACAAGGAAACATTAAATTCATCATGCCCAAATGCAGTCGTGCTTTTATTTCCGTTAGTGAAATGCGTTTCTGGGACGGGGGGGGGGGGGGGGTTGATTTGCAACTAAGCACATGTCAGTCAAGGGCTGTTCAAGACACAGCAGAAACCTCACCGGCCTGGAGCCAGTCCCTCCCCCAAGGTTTGCACAAGTCCTTCCCTCTGCCTCTGCCTGGATGGCTCTGACCCCAGGTGGTCACAGTTGATATGGTGAGGTTTTGTGTCCCCACCGAAATCTCGTCTTGAATTATAATCTCCACGATCCCCACATGTCAGGGGAGAGACCAGGTGGTGGTCATTGAATCATGGAGGCCATTCTCCTGAGCTGTTCTGATAGCAAGTGAGTTCTCACGAGATCTGATGGTTTTATAAGGGGTTCTTCCGCCTTCTCGCAGCTTTTCCTGCTGCCCTGCAAAGAAGGCGTCTTGCTTCCCCTTTGCCTTCCATTATTATTGTAAGTTTCCTGAGGCCTCCCCAGCTATACTGAACTGTGAGTCAATTAAACCACCTCTTTCCTTCTTCTTCTTCTTTTTTTTTTTTTTTTTAAGAGTCATGCTCTGGGGCCGGGCGCAGTGGCTCACGCCTGTAATCCCAGCACTTTGGGAGGCCAAGGCGGGTGGATCACGAGGTCAAGAGATCGAGACCATCCTGGTCAACATGGTGAAACCCCGTCTCTACTAAAAATACAAAAAAAAATTAGCTGGGCATGGTGGCACGTGCCTGTAATCCCAGCTACTCAGGAGGCTGAGGTAGGAGAATTACCTGAACCCAGGAGGCGGAGGTTGCAATGAGCCGAGATCGCGCCATTGCACTCCAGCCTGGGTAACAAGAGTGAAACTCCGTCTCAAAAAAAAAAAAAAAAAAGTCATGCTCTGTCACTCAGGCCCAAGTGCAGTGGCAATATCTTGGCTCACTGCAGCCTCCACCTCCTGGGTTTGAGTGATTCTCCTGCCTTAGCCTCCTGAGTAGCTGGGATTACAGGCACATGCCACCACGCTTGGCTAGCTTTTGTATTTTAGTAGAGATGGGGTTTCACCATGTTGACCAGTCTGGTCTTGAACTCCTGACCTCGTGATATGCCCACCTCAGGCTCCCAAAATGCTGGATTACAGGCATGAGCTACTGTGCCTGGCCAAACCTCTTTCCTTTATAGATTGCCCAGCCTCAGGCAGTTCTTTCTGGCAGTAGAAAAACAGACTAACGCAGCAATGCTCCCCTAACCTAACTTCCTCTTCTGGGCTGCTGTGCAAATCTCACTTTCTCACTGCCCCTCCCCTGATTGAGTTCTGCACCCTCCCTCCTGAGCATTTTCTTTTCTTTTTTTTGGAGACAGGTTCTTGCTGTGTTGCCCTGGCTGGAGTGCAGTGGTACAGTCGTGGCTCACTGCAGCCTGGAACTACTGGGCTCAAAGGATCCTCCCACTTCAGCCTCCGGAGTTGCTGGGACTACAGGCGTGCGCCACCATGCCCGGCTGACTGACTGAGCGATTGAGAGATGGGATCTTGCTGTGTTGCCCAGGGAGATCATGAACTCCCGGCTTCCAGCCATCCTCCCACCTTGGCCTCCCAAAGTGTTGGGATTGGCCAGATGTGGTGGCTCACTCCTGTCACGCCAGCACTTTGGGAGGCTGAGGCGAGCAGATCATTTGAGGTTAGGAGTTTGAGACTAAACCTGGCCAACAAGGCAAAACCACGTCTCTACTAAAAATATAAAAATTAGCCAGACATGTTGGCACATGCCTGTAATCCCAGCTACTCTGGAGGCTGAGGTAGGAGAATCGCTTGAACGTTGGGGAAAAGGTTGCAGTGAGCCAAGATCATGCTGTTGCACTCCAGACTGGGCGACAAGAGTGAAACTCGGTCTCAAAAAAAAAAAAAAAGAGTCCTAAATGAGAGTAGGTTTGAAGAGTTTTTTGCTGCGGTTTTTTTTTTTTTTGAAACTGTTTCAGTTTTACCCTCGTCGATCTCGGCTCACCGCAACCTCCAGCCCTGTGTTCAAGCGATTCTCCTGCCTCAGCCTCCCGAGTAGCTGGGATTACAGGCATGTGCCACCACGCCTGGCTATTTCTTATATTTTTAGTAGAGATGAGGTTTCACCATGTTGGCCAGGCTGGTCTCAAACTCCTTACCTCAAGTGATCCACCAGCCTTGGCTTCCCAAAGTGCTGGGATTACAAGCATCAGCCACCAACCCCGGGGTTTGGTTTGGTTTGGTTTTTTGTTTTGAGAGCACCAGGCTAGAGTGCAGTGGCACCAGTTCAGCTCACTGCAACCTCCCGGGTTCAAGTGATTCTCCTGCCTCAGCCTCCTGAGCAACTGGGACTATAGGCACACACCAAGCACGCTCAGCTAATTTTTGTATTTTTAGTAGAGACAGGGTTTTGCCATGTACGTCAGGCTGGTCTTGAACTCCTGAGGTCAAGTGATCCTCCCGCCCCAGCCTCCCAAAGTGCTGGGATTACAGGCATGAGCCACCGCACCCGGCCTATGGAGAGCTTCTGAGTTGATGAACACATGGAGGTCATGGGAGGGTGGCGGCGTCCCCCACCCAGAAAGGGTCTGGAAGTGCTGCCCCCATCCCCCACACACTGACTGCCCTCTTTATCTCTTCCTTTTGGCTGTTCCTGAGTTGTCTCCTTCACCATAAAACAGGAAGTAGTAAGTAAAACACTTTCTTGAGGTGTGTGAGTCATTCTAGCAAATTATGAAACCTGAAAGGGAGGGGGTTTGTGGGAACGCCTGGACTTTGCAGCCAGGTCGGACAGAAGTATGGGTAGCCTAGGAACTCGATGCTCGCTGACAAGTGAGGGCGGGCTCAGTTTGTGGGACGGAGCCCACGAGCCAGCTCTGGGTAATCGATGTCAGGAATGAATCGTAGGAAACCCAATGGGAATTATTTGGTGTGGAAACCCCCACATATTTGGTGTCAGAAGTGTGGAGAAAAAAGTCTATTTCTGGCCGGGCGCAGTGGCTCACACCTGTAATCCTGGCACTTTGGGAGGCTGGGGCAGGAGGATCACTTGACGTCAGGAGTTCAAGCCCAGCCTGACCTACATGGCAAAACCCTGTCTCTACTAAAAATACAAAAGTTCGCCGTGTGCGATGGTGGGCACCTGTAACTCCAGCTACTCAGGAGGCTGAGGCAGGAGAATCTCTTGAACCTGGGAGGTGGAGGTTGCAGTGAGCTGAGATCATGCCATTGTCCTTCAGCCTGGAAACACAGCAATACTCTCTCTCAAAAAAAAAGAGAAAAGTAATGAGATAAACCACATATTGTGGCCGGGCGTGGTGGCTCATGCCTATAATCCCAGCACTTTGGGAGGCCGAGGCAGGTGGATCACGAGGTCAAGAGATCAAGACCATCCTGGTCAACAAGGTGAAACTCCGTCTCTACTAAAAATACAAAAATTAGCTGGGCATGGTGGTGTGCGCCTGTAGTCCCGGCTACTCGGGAGGCTGAGGCAGGAGAATTGCTTGAACCCAGCAGGCGGAGGCTGCAGTAAGCCAAGATCCTGCCACTGCACTATAGCTTGGGTGACAGAGCAAGACTGTGTCTCTACAAAAAAAAAGAGTTGGAAGTTTCTGCAGGAAAGGGGGAAGAGAACTCCCGGAAAAGCCATCGCAGGGACCATCACTCTCCCAGCAGCTGTCAGTTGTAGCCGCCGCTTGTCATAACTTTTGGAAAAATTATATTTGGAAAAACACTGGCCAGGGGAAAGAAACTTTTTTTCCTCATGGTGAATAAGCAAGGGCAGATTCAACTTTCTAAGTGCTATGAACATGTGGACATTAATAAGCGTATAGTTTTGGAAACAGAAGTCATAAAGAGCTGACTCTCGATCCAATGAACAATGCTCTTTCATTGAATATCAGGATTTTGAGTTGATACATGAGCAGTATGCAGCTGTCTTCACTGTAATTGGAGTTAATGACACTAAGAATAAGATGGTTATTTACAGGCCGAGCATGGTGGCTCATGCCTGTAATCCTAGCACTTTGGGAGGCTGAGGCGGGTGGATCACCTGAGGTCAGGAGTTTGAGACCAGCCTGGCCAACATGGTGAAACTCTCTCTACTAAAAATACAAAAATTAGTCAGGCGTGGTGGCGGGCCCCTGCAATCCCAGCTAGTCAGGAGGCAGAATTGCCTGAACCCAGAAGGCGGAGGTTGCAGTGAGCTGAGATCTTGCCACTGCACTCCAGCCTGGGCAACGCAGCAAGACTCTCTCTTAAAAAAAAACAAAAACAAAAACCACGCAACACCAAGAGTAATTTACTAAACAGGAATGTTGTATGAGAAAGACATAGCATCGCGTTCGGGTATTCTCAGGTAAAATCATTGGCAAAAATAAAAGTAAGGAGAAAGGAGTCAGCCTGGACAGGGTTTCTGGGTCTTTTATTAACAATCTCCCTCCAGAAGCAGTGGGTGCCACAGAGAAATAAAACTGAGACCGAATCTCCAGCAGCCAGGTGGGCCCAGGTATCCCGTCTTCTCCAGCCCTGGGTGTCAGCCCAGCTTGATAAACAGCAGCAAAGTGGCAAGAATTCCTGGCAACTGAAATGGGCAAAGAAGAAAACATGGATCCAATGCTAGAGACCTCCAAACCAGAATCATAGTGGAGTTACGGGGCGGGAGGAGCATCCTGTTCCAGAAAGGTGAGGGGCAGGGTTTACAGGTGGCTGAAGAACCATCTGGGCTAAGCTGGAGCCACTGGAGTTCAGTTAAGAAAATAAAGTGCATCCATGTCCACTTCTTTTTTTTTTTTTTTTTTTTGAGAAGGATTTTCGTTCTGTTGCCCAGGCTGGAGTGCAGTGGAACGATCTCAGCTGACTGCAACATCCACCTTCCGGGTTCAAGCAATTGTCCTGCCTCGGCCTCCCCAGTAGCTGGGATCACAGGCACCCACCACCACACATGGCTAATTTTGTGTGTGTATGATGGTCTCACACTGTTGCCCCAGCTGGATTGCAGTGGCACAATCTCAGCTCGCTGCATTC